ATAATGAAAATTACGATTTTGAAAAATTGGTAATTAATTGATATTTTAAAAAAATGAACGATAGTGAATTGACAATAAAAATTTTAAAGAAACAATAGAGCAATCGTAATAAATTCAGACTTTTGGTATCCACTTTGATACGTTGCCGTTTTGGGATTGAAACACAATTTTGACGAGATTCGGGTTATCTTCAGGACGAGCGAATTGTTTCATCTGACGAACAAGCAGCTGAGTGATACCGTTTGCAACAAAACTGAGTTGTTGAGGTGATTGATCGAACGCTATTTCACTATCGTTTTCTTTTGTTGAAAGACGGACGCACTGCTTAGAACACTGCCATTTCGTTGCATATTTCTGCGCAATTTCACTCAAGTCATCTGTCTAAAAAATTGACACCTTTCATCAGCCGAACTTTCAGAATTAACAATTGATACCAACAAGAAAAGATTTTCATTCTCCGTTTCTGAGTACTTCACGTCATGAGATGAAAAGATAGAATTGAATTTTGAATTAAGAATTCAACAACTTTCATACCATTTTCCAGTTGACAATCCATACAGGTCCGCCCTTTTCAAAATCTTCAATTTCCAGCGTACAATGTTTTGACGACGTTCCTTCAAATACTATGTCTGATTCATTCATCGTGTCTTCATCTAATGATGCATCGAACTCGTTTGCGTCACTCAGCTCGCTAAAATCAAGCATTCCGTCTCGTTGCACAACTCTTCGACTTTCACTTTTCATATCACAAATATAACACAACAGAAGCAGTTCATCTGCATCACTAAGAAAGATTCGTCAATGGTACNTTCACTTTTCATATCACAAATATAACACAACAGAAGCAGTTCATCTGCATCACTAAGAAAGATTCGTCAATGGTACAGGAAGATACTAAAAAAAACAGGGTAAACAAAGGATCTATCCATTACTCGATGTGTTTTCGAGTGCTTGATCTGCATTTTAATCGTTTTCTAGAAGAAATTGGTTGCTGATGATCATCAGTATCACTATCGTCTGTTAGTGATATTGCTTCGCACTTATCAGCAGTCGAGTGTTTATCGTTATCGAATGGTTTCGACGGCTTCGAGATCAATTTATCGATCAAGGTCGACTGGTCTTCGGTATCACTCTCATCGTCAGATAGTACTACGACATCTTAATTCAGATCAATCTCATTACAGATAATATTGAAAGGTTTGAAATTACAATTAAAGGTGGCAAACATACTCGAAATAAGATTTCGGTTTCTTGTACTGATGTGTCATTAAAAGATGGACATTACTGATGGCTTGTTCAGTTACAAAAAATATATATTGCAAATCGATGCTCCGGATTGGCTGAACCTTTCGCTAGCCCACTGAACCAATCTTTTGCATATTAAAAAATCCATCCAGTAGGGCAATCAAATAGTAAGAAACTGACATCTACTCATTAGCGCACCCAAACTCTAGAATCACACATCGAATGTTGAAATCTTACCCGTAATTTTAGTTTCTTTCGCCGTTTGGTCAACATGCTCGCCTTTGCGTCGTTTTGAATCTACTGCAACAAGATGATGTTGAAGTGAAATTTTTACGAGATGCAATAATTAATTGAAATAATTTACTCTTACGAAATACCACAAAACAGAAAACGTCCAGTAGATGTGCACGCAAGATGGCACATCATTAACCACAGTGGTTTTCGATCATAAATTAATTGAGTTTAGATTTAATAGAATTGTCTTTGCACCCACCNCATAAAATCATAAATCTTATCGAACGTCTGTCTGTGCTACTGCATTTCAAACAATCCATATATCGTTGTAGAAACAGCCTTCAACATTTCCAGTTAGACTGATAAGCGGATTCTGACTTCAGCATGTCTCCCTTCTCCCTGTCACAAACCGAAACTCTCGCAGATCCACAAAACATCAAGTCCTCATCAACATCTAGTACAGTTCGCGAAAACAACACATTCTTTTGAGACATTTTTTTCCATGCAGCTGTAAAAAATTTCCATGCAGCTGTACTCGCTCATTTCCATACTATCCGTATCGTCATAATCCATCCACTTTATTTGTGTGTTTGCTATCGGTACACTGATTGTGCATAATACTTGTGAAGATTTTAACTTTATATCCACACAACCAACGGTATTCCCTCCTTACTGATGGCTTAAAATGCCGAAATATGAGAGGAGCAAAGGTGTGGCTAGAAAGAGCAAACGTGACAGTCATGAAATATTTTTGTTGTTATTCTCATTTAATGCAATATAAACAATTTAATTGAAAACAATAGATTTAATATACCGAACGCATTCAATGTTCGCAAAACGCAAAATTGCGAGTATCGTCGCATTTCGCCATACAAACGCGTGAGCACAAGGGCGGAATCAGCTGTGAGCTTGCTAATCGTAAATCAACGTGCGCTTGTGCGTTGAATTATCAAAATGTACATCAATAGTATATCGGAGAAGGACCATTTTTGAGTATAATGCATCGCGGAATTATTGCAGCAATTATAACCACTTTATAAGAAATACAATTCTCTATCAGATGAGCTATTTTATGTTGGAAAATATCTAACTATAAGAAAAATTCAGAAAAAAAACTTGAGCAATCTTAAAATTGAAAATCTTGGGCGAAAACGGGACTCATATTTATAAAATACCCAATTTCAAGTTAAAGAGATTGTCATCGAGCACATTTTGTAGGGTTTGAAAACCTTATCGGATGAGTTTTCGTATTCGAAAAAAACGAAGGCGTTTTTGGAGGTTTCGGTGGTTCTAGAAGTGAAAGAGCTGCAGCTGAATGCAGAAATTACTCAGTTTTAAGGAAAAGGAACCGTCGTTGAGTACAGAGATTGTGTAGATCTTCTAAGGCACATCTCTACTAATAGCTTTTGCAATTTCCAGAAGTGACAATTCCCGTAATTCAGTGCCTATATTTATGAAACCATTTGTGTTCAACACTGCTCAATTGGAATCATTCAAGCAAAGGACTTTGTTCAAGTTTTTATTATCGTTAATTCACATATCAAGAAATTATTTATTTACAAATCAAGAAATTATTTCGCAGAATTCCTTGGAGTATGAGCTTCATTTGGCTGGAATAAATAATCTCTATGTTTGTTTGGGTAATAATTCGAGATGAATGGCATGAAGCCGAATGGTGTTCGTGAGATGAGTGGAAGGAATGGTGATAAAGAATAAAAATGTGAAAACAGATAGACATATGATCGTATCAATTTATAATAGTTGGATAAATTAATAAATGAATGCATATACTTAGAGAAGTTGAAATATCACCCAATATTGTTGCTATCAATGTTAACATTTGAATTATCATCATTAAACTAATATCTTCGTTATTCGCAAGCAAAGAATTATGCACAGCAGAGAATCAATCGCATTAAGCATCAATTGCTCCACAGGTTCCTCAACGTCCCTGTATCAGTTCGTTCCTTTAAGTAATCGCAATTAGTTTTTTAAAAATCAGCACAAAATAAATTTTGAAGGTTTTCGTTGCAATTTTCTGCAATAATTTTTCGCTTCATGTATTAGCTGAAACTTCCAAAAAGCCATGAGGCTATTTAAAAGAATGGAGAATACGTGTACAACTAATAATCAACAATGCTACGAATTTTCAAATTGGGGAACTGCATGAATAGTACTATGCTTATCGACTGAGAAAGAACAAGGTCGATTTACGAGATGGCTAGTTTACTTATCAACTGCCTATTATTAGTATAGTTTTACATATAAGAGAAATATGACGACTTGTTCACTGTTCCACATTTCAGAAAAGTAAAATAATTGAATAATGAGTCACCATTCGTCTGTAATTGTTGATAATGTGTTATCAGCGATATCGGTTTCAGAACGTTCTATTGCAGTTCGTGTCACTTGCTTGTTATCATATTCATCAAATTCTTCTATATCCTCAGAGATATTCTCGTACCATTCTGCCTTAAGTCGGAATATTATAGAATGCAATAACATACTTTAACTTATTTCATTCTCATTTTTGTTATTTCATTAAAAGATTATGACACGCATATGATTTGTGGAATCACTATCGGAAAAACAAGCCCGAAATCAAATCTAAAGCTGCCGCTGCAATATAAGTTGATGATGTTTTCTTATGAACAGTTTTCATATGGACTCAAAATTGAATGATGTTAAAATCGACGAAACGGGATCAGACCATGTCGAGACGCGGTGCATTGAACGAGAACTTGTAGGGTGGTAGCCAAATTGTATGCGTTAACAGTTCATTAGTACCACACATCCACTCGGGATCAACCAATATGTCATTTAAATGACACATATACACCTTTAAATGGTACACTTATATTTGTTCATTCACTGACCAAATCGCAGGTTTGTAATCGTTAACCTCCAAAAAGTGCTTCACTTCATCCATGAAAATCATATGTTTCACCTTCATCTCATCAGTTGACTAAACTTTTATTCAGTAATTGCAAAATAACATCGCTGTTTGATGAAATTCACATTCTTCCACCATCCACTCTTGACATATGGCCTCACACAAAATTCCATTCCAGTGAGCACAATAAATTCAAAGTTCAACTTGTGTGTATGTGAAAAGAAATGAATCGTGTTCACCTTAAACCTTGTATTATCAAAATCTTTTCGCCACACATTCAAGTCGAGTTCCGATGTTCGAAATACGATCAATTCTTTGAGTGTTTTTGGTAATAATTGCATGAATGAAGACATATTCGAAGCGTTGTAGAAGTGAACATAAACAGACAGTCGTTGCAGTGGCAAATGACCGATTAAAGAAAGTTTATCTGGTATTTTGCGATGACATGATGAATACAATGATGGCGGTATCTCGAGTACTTCTAGATTTGATAACTCCGCTGAAATACACTCGCACCTCATTAAGCGTATTCTTTGGAGCATGATCAGAATTCCAATGTGAAAGAAGACTTTTGAAAATCATTTAAATACACTCATAGGCGGAATTTCATGCTTAAAATGTTCGGAAATGGAATCAATAAATACCTTCACGTTCTACCAATGAAACCGACGATTTTTTCCCCGTTTTGTATGCTAATCACTCATCAAAAAAATTACTGTATTGCAATGAATATTTATTGTACTTAAGCATAAACTGTTCTGAACATACTTTCACATTAGCTCAATACGAAAACTGACACCTTTGCTGTGGTTGATTGAAAATTAGACGGCTGGATGTG